GTGCGTTGTGCGTGTGCGTGTGTGTGTGCGTGCGTGTGTGTGCGTGTGTGTGAATGTGAATATATGTGTGTGTGAATGTGAATGTGAATGTGTGTGTGTGTGTGTGTGAATGTGTGTGAATGTGTGTGAAATGTGAATATGTGTGTGTGTGTGAATGTGTGTGTGTGTGTGTGAATGTGAATATATGTGTGTGTGTGTGAATGTGTGTGTGTGTGTGTGAATGTGTGTGTGTGTATGTGTGAATGTGTGTGTGTGTGAATGTGCATGTGCGTGTGCGTGCATGCATGTTTGCAAACTGTGTGTACATGTGTGTGCTAATGTCAGTGCTGGCTCTCGGTGTTGTGGCTTGTCCCGCTTCTGTTGGTGCTTCGCAGACGGCTACCGCTGAGTTTTGCCAATCTGAACAACCTGAGGTGGCTTGATCTGGGCGAGAACCCGTGGGACACGTCGTTCATTCCCCTGAGCGTCGCAATCAACCCAAAGTCAGACACCAGCGACAAGGAGCGCCGCGCGTGTGCCGCTCGCGTAAGTGTGTGCACGTGTGCGTGCGTGCATGTGTAACGGTGTTGTTGTTGTTGTTGTTGTTGTTGTTGTTGTTGTTGTTGTTGTTGTTGTTGTTGTTGTTGTTGTTGTTGTTGTTGTTGTTGTTGTTGTTGTTGTTGTTGTTGTTGTTGTTGTTGTTGTTGTTGTTGTTGTTGTTGTTGTTGTTGTTGTTGTTGTTGTTGTTGTTGTTGTTGTTGTTGTTGTTGTTGTTGTTGTTGTATACATGTGTGTGCATGAGCTGTTTGCGTGCATGAGTGCATGCGCGTGTATGTCGTGGACAAGCCGTGTTACATGGACGGACTCCGCATCCATCCATGAAAGGTGTTGGTTTGCTTGTCTTTGCGACCGATGTTTCATCCATGTTCACCGTGTTGTGCACGACTTGTTCTTACGCGCACGCATGTGCGTGCGTGTGTGCGTGTGTGTGTGTGTATGTGTATACATATATGTGTGTGTGTGTGTGTGTGTGTGTGTGGTCGGCCGTAGGTTCGCCGGTACATTGAGAACTTGAAGCACGAGGCGGAGAAGCTTGCAGACAAGCTCGAGCGGCAGGAGAAATCAAAACAGAAGAAGCAGAAGAACAAGGACGATGAGGACCAAGGGTGCGTTTCCGTGTGCGCGCGTGTGTGTTGGGGGATTGTGTGTTATTAATGTGTGTGCATGCGTGTGTGTATGTATGCATATGTGTGTATGTTTATGTGCATGTGTGTATGTTTATGTGCATGTGTGCATGCGTGTAAATGTGTTTGTGTGTGTGTGTACTTGTTCTTGCATCTTATGTTCATCCCCTCTTGGAGTGTCCAATCCTCAACCACTGACACAATCACACACACACACACATACACGCGAACGAAGGGCACTAGCGAAGAAGACGGGAAAGAAGAAGAAGAAAAAGACAAACAAGAGCAAGCGCAAGAAGGAAGAGCTTGAGTCCTTGTACAAGCTTGGTGATGAGGACGACGCAAGGCACGCCCCCTCCAATGCCGCCACAGCCACTTCTGCTACCAGTGGTGATGGCGGAGACAAGGACACCCTTCTATTCTCTGGTATGCACACACACACACGATATGGTGTGTATGTGTGTTTGTGCGCATGCTTGTGTGTGTGTGTGTGCTTGTGTGTGAGGGAGTGGGTGTGTATTGCGTCTGTCCGTTGTGTCTGTTCACTGCGTCTGTTCGTTGTGTCTCTTGTGATTCACCAAGTGTTCTTATTCACACACACGCCCCCTCTCTTCCCCGCTTCCGCCCCATTTGCTGTGCTTGGCAGCTGGGCCCAACAGCGAAGAAACAACGCGTCAGACCACCGCGCGCAGAGCAGAGCAGAACCGTATGTTGTTGTGCATCTGTGTGTGCGTGTGTAAGTTGTTGGTGTGGAAGGGCGGGTGGATTGAGAGGGCGTCGTCGTGGGGATGCGGGCTTTTCTTTCTCACACGCTCGCGCTGACTCGTCCATCCACACACACACACACACACACACACACACACACACACACACACACACACACACACACACACACACACACACACACACACACTCGCGCGCGCGCCTGTGCAGGGATGGCGACTGGAATGATGATGCTGGCTGTGGTGGCTGTGGTTGTCGGAGTGTTTGCTGTCCTGCATCAAGTTGGGATTGTGGACCTGAACCGCGTTGGCGGCGCGCTTCTGGACCTCGTCGCCCTTCTCAGTGGATCCGTTACCATCTACTGATGTGGGCTCTCGCTCCACGGCTTGCATTGCATTGTAGTGCAGTGCAGTGCAGCGTGCCTTGCCTCGCGTTGCAGTGTGCCTCTTGAGTCTTGTGTCTTGCGTGTGCCATGCGTACACACGCTTGCTTGCCTGTGTTTGCTTGCTCTCTCTTTCTCTCTGTTTGCATGTGCGTGCATACACTACATACACACATTGTGTGGGACCGACTCCGCCCCCCCCCCTTTGCACAGTACACAGCCAAGCTTACCATCTCCTTGCCTCCTGTCCTCATCTCGAAGCAATCATTGATCGCTTGTTCCAACAAGGGCAACAAGACAGCAACAGCACAAACACAGCAACAAGACAGCAACAACAGACAACAACAAGAAAGACAGCCGAAGGTTAATGGTTGGTTGGCTTTGGTTGACTTTGGTTGGCGCTGTCTCCTTGCTTGCTCGTCTGGTTTCCTTGCTTGCTCGCACATCTTCAAGTCTTCTTGCTGCTGCTCGACCTTTCCTCCTTTTTTCGCCTTTGTTGATTTTTGAAAGCTTAGCGGATGCGACCAGCACCCACGGTTGGGCACCAAAGCGACCCGCATGTGCACGAATGCAGTTCGAATGTTACGGTGCGAAGCGTGGCGTTGCAGAGAGCTTACCTACATCTTTGTTAGATTTTCGTTGAAACCGCACGACGAAAAAACCGTTGGCGGTTCTTTAGCGTTTCGCTTCTTGCCTGCAAGCAAAACAGCAAGCAAGCAAGGAGCAAGCGAAACTCCAACCAAAAATCGAAAAATCCTCACCACCGCTTCGACCTTCGCTTCGTTTCGCGTGTCCCTCTCTGCAACCACTGCCGCCGCTGCCATGTGATTGATGGTGGGAGTTTGCGTGCGTGCGTGCGTGCGTCAACTGACTGACAGCCCAGCCTGACTGTTTTCCTTTCCCGCTTTGCTTTGCCTTTTGCTTTGCTTTGCTTGCAGCCAGCGGGCCAGCAGTCAGGTGTTGTGCACACAACTCACACACTCCCCGCCACCTTTTGCTTGGCTTGGCTCGGCTTGTGTGCTGTATTTTCGCTGCCACAAACAAAAAGCCACCGCTCGTCGATCCATCTGGCTGGTGTTGGCGCTGTTGTTGTCCTCATCTGTGCACGACAAAAGCCTGAGCCCACACACACACACACACACACACACACACAACTCCCACATCACTGCTTGGTAGGTAGCTGCTGCTGCCGCCGTTGCTGATGCTGCTGTCGTTGTGTTGCAGCATCACATCATCACATCATCACACATGCGCTTCACATCAGCCGCGTGTGGATGGCTCACATCTTGCTTGCAGATCATCATCACACATCCAATCATATCACTCACGTCCTTCCCTCCTCATCGTTGTCACGCTCACGCCTTGCCATTGTGCTTGTTCGCTGCAGCTCCATCCCACCGCAAACAACCTCAAGCACGGAACGAACAGGGAGGCAAACAATCGCCATCATGGCAGGTGCGCGCGAACAAAACCCACGTATCGCATTCCCAAGCACATCTTGGTTGTTGCCTGGATGGGCACAACAAGTGATTTGTGTTGGTTGGTCCCGCACGAACTTCACATGCCCCATCGTGCTTGCTCAGCTTTGGCTGTGCTTTGTGGGTTGTTGCTTGTCTTGTTGTTCCTCATCATCCAACCCATGATGCGCAACCTTTCTTCCGTATCTCTCTCTCTCGCTCACTCTCCTTTCATTTTCTCATGACTTGCATCGCATCCATTTCACAACACAGGCCGTGACTCCAGCATCACCATCCAAAGCCAACCGGCATCGCCCAACTTCCTGTGAGCTTGTTCTGCATGTGTGTGTGTGTGCATGTGTGTGTGCACCTGTGGTTAAGTACATGTACCTGTGTTTCTCCGCCACCATGCCACACACAAATCGGCGTCTTGTGCTCACGACATGCTCGCTCGCTCGCACATCTGCTGCAGGCGTCAGAATCACGACATCTTGCGTGACCTCACACAGCGCGTTGCAGAGCAATCCATCCAGGAAGCCCGCATCCTTGAACTGGTGTGTGCGAGGGCAGTGGTGTGCGCGTGCTGTCGCTTCACGACAAGACAAGCTTGTATTGCATGGATGCTCTTGTGTTGCTCTTGGTTTGCTCTTGGTTCGCCCGGTCTGCTGGGTGCGCTCATCTTGTTTCACTCAGTGCCCTCGTCCCTGATACTACTCTCACATGCTCTTCTTCCATCCCAATCACTCGTTCACACCCACCTCAGCTTGGCCAACCAGCATCCAGGCGCCCAATTGGTGGAGACATTGAATTCAAGGCGAAGAAACACACCATCAAGGTGATGATGATGATGGTGATGGTGCACACAGCGCCTAGCTTTGGATGTGTGCCGTGTCCTGCTGTAGTTGCGCGACAACAGCACCTGTTTGTCAAAGAGCACGTTTTGCATTGCATTGGTCTGTGCGGCTCTTGTGCTTGTGCTGCATTGCACTGCGTCGTTCAGCCAACACATGGTTGCTCACCTCGAATCCTGCTGCTTCCCCATCCTCTCCCTCGCCCCTTTCTCTCCTCCTCGCTTTCACCATCACCATCACCACCACCACCGCCGCCGCCGCCGCCGCCACCGTCCTGAATGAAACCAGATGCGCGATGGGAGGCAACCAGGGGAATCCCTTGTGGAGTTCAAGCCTGTGAGCAGGGCTCACTCGCCCATTCCCATGTGCTCCATCCGCGACCTGTCAGATCTCAAGCCCAGGCTGCGAGCCAGCAAGGTGCACCACCGACCCACCCCCAAGAAGCAGCTCAAGTTCAAGCCCGTGCGCTCATGATGTGATGTGTGCGTCGGTGTCCGCACTACCCCTCCATCAAGACCTGGTGCAACACCCTGCTGCCTCACCTGTCTGCGTCCGGTGTTTCTCTGTCTTCACCGCGCATGTCCTCTTTCGCATTGATCACCATTCATTCATCTCCCAAGCTCGCAGCCATTTATATTTGCGTTGTTGTGATTTAACGTATGTGTGTGTGTGTGCGCGCGCGTGTGGGTGCAACTATTTCATTCCTCCATTGTTTTGCCTCTCTGACCTCTTCGTCTGCGCATGCTTTGGCGCTTTTTGCCTTGCCTCGTCCTCTCGTTGCTGTCGCCATTTCTTGTTGTTCACTTTCACATGCCAGCACATGTGTGCGCGTGTGTTCGCATGAATCGTGCGTGTCTTCTTTACCTTGTTTTGTGCTTGGGCGCTGCGCGCCCGCCGTCTGCTCCGCTGTGGTGCCAACGTACACCGTGCGGCTACATGAATCCTCTCTTCACACACACACACACACACACACACACACACACACACACACACACACACACACACACACACACACACACACACACTCACACACACACTCACTCACACACTGGACACACATGCGTGTCCCATTCTCGTTTGACTTCTCTTTTTCTCGTGTTACAACCTCCCCCCCCCCCCCATTTCTTCTACCTGAGCCCTCGTAACTCCGTTTGTCACACTGTTGGCTTGTTGATACCAGCGAACACCAATGGCGCACAGCCCAATTCAATTCAATTGACTTGCTTGAATAAACATGATACACTCCAACCACCCCCGCCATAGTCGGTTTGAAACGACTCATGCATGCCACATCGTGTCATGGTCGAAAACACGATGACCGAACAAAACCCTTAGTGAACACTGCAGGCGGTCGTTTGGTGTGGCTGGTCGCAAACGCATGTACGGATGCGTGTAACACGGTGAAGAGACTTTCTAGTTTAGTTCATATAGAGAGGCGAGGGGGACAGCATGCATGGATGCAGCGTCATCATACGCCCAGGCTTACAAAGCCAGGTGGATGTCTGCTTCGTTCACGCCAAACTCATCCAAGACGTGCGTCATGTTCACGTTGAAGGGCATGCTTGCAAGCAAGCGGGCCAGGGCCAGGTTGTACGGCTGGAACAACCCACGCAACAGCGCCTCCGTCCGCGCCGGCATGCGGCCACGTGAGCGGCGATTGTTTGACAGGCCGCGTTCGAACCAGCGCATGTCCTCCACATCAAATGGGCGCCCAAATGCATCTGTCACGCGCTTCACCGCCGCCACGGGTTCCGCTTTCAGCTCCCCTGCGGGCGCGTGCGTGCGTGTGTGCGTGATTGATTGATTGATTGAGAGAGAGAGAGTGTGTGTGTGTGTGTGTGTGCGTATGCGTATGCGAGAGGGTGAGCAAATGTGAGTGAATAAGTGTGTGTGTGTGAGCAAATGTGAGTGAGTAAATGCGAGTGAGTTAGTGAGTGAGTGTGTGTGTGTGTATGTGGGTGCGTACATGAGCGAGTGTATAAACGTGTTCTCCTTATGTGCACAAGCGCCCATGTATCGCCTTGGCTCGCCACCTCTACATCCTTCCCCCCCTCGGGCAACAAATCCGCATCGATTGCATGCACGATGCACACGCACCACTGGTGAGAATGATAAACTGGTCCGGCTTGAATCCTGCGCAGAGGAAGTTGAAGAGCTGGTCTGCGTACAGGCCCATGTACGCAAAGCCGGCGTGCCTGTTGACCGCATGCGCAGGCTTGTTCATGTCTGCGTCGTAGTTGAGCGTAAACTTGACGAACCACGGTTGCTTTGCGTCCGCCGCCTTTGGCTTCATGCACTGGTGAAAGGCGTCATATGCCGCGCGAATATCGCGGCACTGCGCCAAATCAAACGGCCCGCCAGCTTCCATCCCCATTGCCGCCTTTGTCGCAGTGCCACTCGCCTCCTTGTTGCTTTTCCCTTTGTTGGCACTGGTATCACCGCCACCACTATGGCCACCACGACTGCCACCGTTCTTGGCAGCGGCACTTGCGCCCTGATATGCGGTATGGGCGCGCTGCAAGCCGTCCAGGGAAAGCAGAGCCAGGGTTGAGTTGTAGCACGAGCGCAGCAGGCGCACCTCCTCCGAGATTAGCCCGCCAAAGTCCTGCGGGGTTGCGTCCTCTGGGCGCAAGGCATGGTGGTAGGAGCTCCACGCACGCGCCACGGGGTCGCGCAGGATTGCGACAAAGGTCGTCTGCTCTGGGCCGGGCAGCATTTGCCACATGTTGTATGGGCGACGCAAGTCCGACATGTAGCGCGGCGTAAACTCAAATGGCACCGTATCTGGTTTGGCGTTGCCGTGGCATGCGAGCGTTTTGGCGTCGCACTTGATGTTGAGCCCCAGCTTGCCCCACTTGGAGCCATACCACTTGACACGGGAGACGAGGCGCGGCGCCAGCTTGGGGGAATCATTCACGTATTGCCGATACAGCAGGTCCCCATTGAATGCGTGAATCTCCTTTTGCGTTGACATGATAAACCCTTTCACCATGGACAGGTAGGCTGCGAAAAAAGATCGTTTGTGTGTGTGTATGTGTGTGTGTGTGTAATTGTGTGTGTGTGTGTGTGAGTGAGTGAGTGAGTGAGTGAGTGAGTGTGAGTGAGTGAGTGAGTGAGTGTGTGTGTGAGTGAGTGAGTGAGTGTGAGTGTGTGTGTGTGTGTGTGTGTGAGTGTGAGTGTGTGTGAGTGAGTGAGAGTGAGTGTGATTGAGTGTGTGTGCGTGCGAGGAGGAAGGGCATAGGGCAAAACCGCGGGATGGATTCTTGCCAGCAAAGGCTGTACAGCACAATCAAGCGCACCAGCAAGGCTCGTGGTTCCACACTTTTGACAGCCTGGAATCGCCGACAATACATACGTATTTGTGCAGTGCGGTGTGAGAGCTTGCAAGCAACCGTAGCAGTTGCAGGTCATCGTGGTGATGAGCACCAGAGACAGAGACAGAGACAGAGACAGAGACAGAGACAGAGACATAGGCAGAGGAAGAGACAGACGTAGAGGCAGACAGATGCAGAGACAGAAAGGCAAGCACAGACACACACAGACATATATACACAGACACACAGACACACACACAGACACACAGACAGCTGCATTCACTCTCGCCCAAAGCACGCATGCATTGCTCTCTCACCAATGCCAATGAGGCGTGGGTAGAGGCCTTGGTCCGTGATGTTGGCTGGTGCCAGCAAATTAGGCAGCATCGTCTGCGACCAGCCTCCCCCGCTGCCTTTGCCTTGCTGCTGCTGATGCTGAAGCTCAGGACGTGTATGTGTTGCCAAAGGTTCCCTCTCTTGATCCTGTGGTGGGAGATGCCAAGAGGGATAACATACAGGAGAGAAAAAACAGGAAAATTGATGTGAGGAAGCAAAACACAGCCAGCAAGGCAAGCCAGCCAGCAAAGCAAGCCAGCCAGTCAGACAAGCCAGCAGCACCCTCCCAAAAAGCCAGTGCTGCGTGTTTTGTTGCTTGCAAGCAAAAGAAAACAAAGGACAGCAGACCTGCAAGGTTTCTTGGTCATCGTCATCAAAGTCGTCGGTGTCGTCGTCGTCGTTAGAAGCCGCATGCGAAGAATGGTCTGTTCCACCACCAGAGGGGTCTTGGAAACGGTCGCTGTCGCGCAGGTGCATGCCAGCCTCAGCAGCAGCAGGAGGCTGGCTGTGTGTGCCTTCTTGGCCAGGCCGCTGTTGTGTGCCGGAAACGGCCAAGCCGCTGTCCACTCCCTGTGGGCGCCACCGTTGTTGTGTTTGTGCTTGTGCTTGTGCCTGTTGCTGTGACTGTTCCTGCACGTCTTCAGCTTTGATGCTGGCAGCGAGCATGTGTTGCTGCTGCACGACGTAGCCGCCCAACAGCGCCGATCCAAACGCCACAACCACAACCACCAGTACAAACGTGCAGGGCCCAATCGATGGCAGACCCCATGACGACGACGACGACGACGAGGCGCTGCCTCTGCTGCTGCTGCTGCTGCCGTTGCTGGAGGGCGGCATGTCAACGTTGGTGTATTTGTGTGTTTGTGTGTTGGTGAGATGCTGTTGGGGTGCGTTGGTCGAGATGTGACGTGGGCGTTGAGTTAGTGGGTTGCGCGACGACGCAGGCAGGAGCGGCTCCCATATGGCACTACTGTTTTTGGTGTCGGTGCAAGCAATTTTCCGCGGGTTTGTGTGTGCGCCAGCTTCTTTGTGTTACGGGCCACTGCAGCAAGCAGCACACGTCATCATGGTGAGTGCGATGTTGAGGGGAGTTTGCAGCGATGCTGCTGGCAGCCATCGTAGCTCTGCTGGCAGTGGCACCAGTGTGTGTCTGTGTGTGTCTGTGTGTGTCTGTGTGTGTGTGTATGGCACCCTCCTCTTGTGCACATCCCTTTTCTGCTGTTTGGTTGCTATATCGCTGGGTGTTGTTTGTTGCTTGTGGATGAGTGGCTGCGCGTTTGCTACTTCGTGAACGCGTGTGACGTGACATGTGACGTGCAATGATGCTGCACACGCCCCGTTCCTCCAAAATGGATTGTTACGGCCACCTGTTGCCGCATCACGACTGTTCTTCAACAGTCCAGTGCCATCATCGGCCTGTGCATCACGTAGTTGTGCACACCCACAAACACACGAGCACGCACGGACGCGCATCTACCCACAGCCAGCCACAAACACAAACACACACACACATAGATATACGCACGCACGCTAGCACACACACACACACACATAGATATACGCACGTACGCTAGCACACACACACACACACACACATAGATATACGCTAGCACACACACACACACATACCCACACACACCAGCACACACCAGCACACATACACGCGGCAACACAAATACACAAACACAAGCACAAACACAAGCACAGCCAGACACTGAGCCATGCCACCCGTTGGTGCGCAGCCTGATGGCTATGACGGCCACTCACGCACAACCTCAACATCGTCTTCACAATCACAGGACACGGGTAACAGCAACAACATCCTGCTGGCGGTGCCGAAGAAAGGGCGACTGTATGAGCGTGTGCTGAAGATCCTCGATGGCGCGGGCTTGGACCACGTGAGGGCGCCCCGCCTGGACATTGCCAACTGCACGCGCGAGGACGTGACGATCGTCTTCCTGCCTGCTGCCGACATTGCCACCTACGTGGCTGAGGGCAACGTGGACATGGGCATCACCGGCGAAGACATCATCGCAGAGTCGCAAGCCAACGTGGACGTGCTCATGAAGCTGGGCATGGGAAAGTGCAAGCTGTGCTTCCAGGCGCCAAAGGGCACCGTGTCCGACCCGAGCGAGCTCATTGGCAAGCGCATCGTCACCTCCTTTCCAAACCTCACCAAGACCTACTTTGACAAGATCGACCCCGGTCACACCACCTCCATCAAGTCTGTGTGTGTGTGTGTGTGTGTGTGTGTGTGTGTGTGTGTGTGTGTGTGTGTGTTTGTGTGTGTGTGTGTGTGTGTGTGTGTGTGTGTGTGTGTGTGTGTGTGTGTGTGTGTGTGTGTGTGTGTGTGTGTGTGTGTGTGTGTGTGTGTGTGTGTGTGTGTGTCGAAGGAGAGGGCGACCGAGGAGGACGCTTCATGTGTGTGTGTGTTTGGGCTCTAGCTTACCATAAGACGTCTCCTCTCACGCACATCATCACCACAACGCCACCACCGCCACCGCCACCGCCGCCACCACTGCTACTACCCATTCGTGCCCCGTCGGACACACCCTTTCAGATATGTCACGGGGTCTGTGGAGGTTGCGCCGTCGCTGGGCTTGGCAGACGCGGTTGTGGACTTGGTTGAGACGGGAACGACGATGCGTGCTGCGGGGCTGGAGAACGTGGGCGAGGTGATGCGCACGGAGACGGTGCTCATTGCCAACCCGCACTCGACACACCACAAGATGATCCAGACCATACACAAGCGCATCAAGGGGTACATCACCGCCACCCAGCACAGCATGATCACGTACAACTGCCCTAAGGACAAGATTGAGGCGGCGTCCAAACTGACACCCGGCCACGACTCGCCAACGATCACGCTGCTGCACGACGAGCGGTTTGTGTCCATCACGGCGCTGGTGCGCACCAAGGAGATACCGCTGCTCATGGACCGCCTGCAGGAGATTGGCGCCCAGTCCATCGTCGCCATCCCAATCTCAAACTGTCGCTTCTGAGAGAGAGAGAGAGAGAGAATGTGTGTGCTTGTGCGCGTGCGTGTGTTCGAATGTGTGTGCGTGTGTGTGTGCGCGCGCGCGTGAGAATGTGAGCATCTGTCTGTGCATGTTTCTGAGTGTATGTGTGTGCGTTGGCGTGCGTCTCTCCCTCCCCCCTCCCTCTCTGTCTGTGAGTTTGAAGCACCGTTTGGCTGTCATCCTGTGCATGCTTCGATTGCGTCAATTCATTGGTTCAATTGCTTCAGCATGCATGCATGGTTGCCTCTCATCTTTGTTTGCCCTTTTCTCCTGTCTTGTTCCGCTTCGTTCGCGATTGCCTTGCTTCCCATCGGTTGCCTTGCTTCCCATCGATTGCTTTGCTTTCATCTTTGCGCCCTTCCCTTCGATAGGCTCGTTACAGCCGCCAGCCGCCAACACCACATCGTCCAACACATGTGCTTCTTCGTCACTGTTGGAGAGAGCCAGGAGGGAGAGAGGAAAGAGGAAAGAGAGAGGGAGGGGGGGGGAAAGAGTACAAGGCAAAGAGTAAGGAGATGAGAGGAGGAGGGGACGGAGGAAGGCAAAACCCATGACACGCAAACACACACAGACACACACACACACACACAGACACAGACACACACGCACACACACACACACACACGCACACACCCTATATCTATGTCGTACAACATTGTCCGTTTAATGAGGGGCGGCAGTGTGAGTTGGCAAGTGGGGAAGAAGGGGGGTGGGCGGAGGTTGTAAACGAATGGCGTCGCAATCGCACAGGCCGAAGCAGTGTCGTCATCAGTGCCATCACCGTCATTGTCACATCGTCGCCAGCAAAAGCATCGCCAACGAGGACAGCAACAACAGCAGCAACAGCAACAACAGCAACACGCGCACACAGGCACTGCAGCTCTCCAGGTCCCGATTGAGCCCTCAAACACACGCACGCCATGCACACATAGACAGCACAAAAAGGAGCACACGCAACTCACACGCGTTCCACAGAGACACAGGAGACACACCAGCAGGCCTGCCAACGAAAATTGGCGGGAACACAACGAAGAGGAGATGCACGTGCAAACCCATGCACACAGCTACTAATCAATGGGTGGGAATGACGCAAGAGCAACGAAACTGCGACGGGAAGACCAACACACGCAGACACACGCACGCATGAGAAGGAAACGCAAAATGTATACAAGCAAAGCAACACGCAACCACACACGGCAAGCAAGGCAAGTCCGGAAAGGGGGGGGGGAGAGAGAGAGAGAGCAATAAAAGGAA